TGTTTATTATAAACAGAACAATTACTTAAATATTTTATCTATAAAGATAATGTATAAAAAGAAAATATCTTAGAATAATTGTTGAACTTTGTCTACTTCGTAATATATATATATATATATAATATATATATATATAGTTGCCGACGCGTTTCGTCCGATGTGGACTTTCTCAACGAAAAAAAATAAAAAAAACGAAATGAATTCATTAAACAAAGTAACTAATAAAAACAAAACAAAATGTCCTTAGCAACTGGAAGAATTTAGAGAACGCTATTTTCATACTGTTAACTGAAAATTACGTCAATTACTGCCACGTGTGGAGATATTGCTTTTATTGTTGTGTTTACGGATTCAACCATTTTCTTTTGATTTCTTGATACTGTTCTGTACGTGTTTGGAAGAGTAGTAATTCTGTTAAGAAAGGTGAAATAGGGAAAAGGACTGGGCGTAGATTAATATTTGGGTAATATTCAATGGCTGCACTCTCAAGGATTTTCCTTCTGAGTGAGTTATTTTCTTTTTTATGAGTGTAGCATTTTTAAAATCAAAATTCGTTTTTTGCCTTGAGAAAGTTCACATCGGACGGAACGCGTCGGCAACTATTACAGTTTTCCTACTGTCTTTTACATTTATAAATATTATCCTTTTTACATATTAACATATTTTTTTTATATATATATATATATATATATATATATATATATATATATATATATATATATTTCAAACAGATATGTACTTTTAAACATGTAAATATATACATATAATAATCATATAACACCTATTGATATACGTAAAATTATATAAATTAACGTATGTCAAGGGGATCACAATTTTTGTCAACAAAATGCAAAATAGCTACCTAGAGCAATAATTATTCGACGAAAATAATGAAAGTTCACTATACTTATCGAAGGTCGACTCGGAGATTCGCGCTTCTTGACTCTGCAATATCTAGATTCTTAATCATAAATACAGCATACCTTAAATATTTATTTTTATCATATATATATATATATATATATATATATATATATATATATATATATATATATATATAATTTAAAAACGGCATGATATACTGTTTGGCATTCGCGCCGGAAGATCTAATACGAACATTTCAAAATATTTGTGTGCCAATCTGATGACAGTGCAGAGGATTCGGAAAGAGTTAGATGAGTCTAATGGTGATTACTAAGGTATGGCAGCTCGGAAAAATCACTCTGATCGTTGTGATAAGAAAAGAAGACCATTCATCTTCCCACAGGGTATCAAACGCAACACGGAAGCCTTCATCAAGTATCTTGAGGAGGCAGTGCTGCCTTTGGTCAAGAGGGTGGCTGCTGAAAGACCCTATGTCTGGCAACTGGACTCTGGACTCTGGACCATGCCACACAAAACAGGTGAACCCATTCATGGCTGTCAGACAATTACTGCGACCGCATCACCCCTTACATCTGGCCTCCTAACTTCCCAAACTGCAACCTCCTCGATTATTATGTGTTGGTCGCAGCTGAACGAGAGATCAACAAAACTCCTTCTAAAACCAGATGAACTGAGGGCAAGGATTATGGCAGCATTCAGCAACTTAAACGAGGAAACAGTCCACAAGATGAGTAAGAGATTCCGAAGTTGTCTGGAGGCCGTGGTTAAAGCCAATGGCGATTTTATTGAATAACTTGACTCTTTAGTTTTTCAGTATATTTTTATGTAATACATCTGGAGATGGCACGGTGGAGAAATAGATAGCAACTCGGGTGGAGGAATCAGGGAACCGAGTTCGAATTCCGGACGAATCCATTGCATTCCTCCTCTTTTTCTTCCCGCCGCCCAGCAATGGGTAAATAACAGAACAGACTGGGTTCTATAGCCTTGGGTGGTAACTGATGAACTCCTGAATTCAAAACCTGTGGTGGGTCGTTTGGGGACCTTGTTTTGTGCAGAACCATTCGGAGGGTACTGCACAAAACCTTCGCCACTATAATCAAATCATGTGTCGTTTCCTAGGAACTGATCTAGCTTGACCCGTATAAATATATATATATATATATATATATATATGTATGTATGATGTTCATAATAAATATTATTAAGAGATGATTTCTTTTTTAATATTTTAAATCGTTTTCTGCAGTTAGATGAGTCTCTTATGTTGTGTTGCGGACAGAGGTTGGAAGCTTTACTGTATAATGTTGGATGCATGTCCTTCACATTTCACGAAAGTAAGATTATCTATCTATCTATCTATCTATTGTAGTCTCTTCTTAGATGAGTCTATTATGTTGGTGTTTGTGTTACGTATATAGGGTGGAATCCTTACAGTACAATGTTCGATGCATGTGTTTAATAATTTACTAAAGTATATCTATCTATCTATCTATCTATCTATCTATCTATTTCAGCCTCTTCATATCTCTCTATCGATCTATCTGGAAATTTATTTATTTCATCTCATCATCCATCTATTGATCTTATTTATCTATCTTATCTATCTATCTATTTATATCTCATCTCATCTATCTATCTATCTATCTATCTACGGAAAGTCTCATCTATCTATCTTATCATCTATCTATCTATTTATCTATTTCAGTCTCATCTATCTATTATCATATATCTATTATCTATCTATTTCAGGTTCGTATGATCTATCTATCTATCTATCATCTATTCATCTATTTCTATCTCATCTATCTATCTATCTATCTATCTATCTATTCAGTCTCATCTATCATCTATCTATCATCTATCTATCTATCATCTTTTCTTAGATGAGTCTATTATGTTGGTGTTTCTGTTGGAATCATTACTGTATAATGTTCGATGCATGTGTTTAATAATTCACTAAAGTATACTATCTATCTATCTCTGTCTTTTCCTATCTATCTATCTATCTATCTATCTATCTATCTATCTATCTATTAATGCATATATATTGTATATAATGTTTTACGCATTCTGATGGCATAGGGGTAAGACTCTCCGACTTAAATCGATCGACTTTCAACCCCGGCTTGAAGCAAACGTATTTCTAGCTACACTTATACAGCGAAACAGTATCTCTGTCTTTTCCTATTTATCTATATAATTTCTGTTTATGTATACAACTCATTTGAGTAAATGCTCTAGTTTAATTAAACAATATTAATTATATTTACCGGCCTGAATATTCAAAAAATCTCGTAGAAAACATGCGTCCCCCGACAGGAATCGAACTTGTATCCCATATGAAAACAGTCATTTAGACTGACGTGTTATTAACCCATTAAGCCAAAGTTTTTTTTGTTTTTTTTTTTTGTTTTTTTTTTTTGCTTCATGTTTAGCAAAGTTCAAATTACTGCTTATAAACACACACATTCGAGGACTTTTCTCAATAATTCATTTCTGGCGGTGAACTCATATCTTTATATATATATATATATATATATATATATATATATATATATATATATATATAAAGGTGAAATCGCTCCAAAGAGGATACTCACAGCTGTTTGCAAGGTCCACGCCATTCTCGCTTATGATCTTCGCCACGCGCATGTCGAAAAGCGACAAAGCTGACAATCTTCAAAAGTCCGCTTCAGACTAAGGCAACACGATCGACATTTTCTGTCTCTTGTATCCTCTTTACTATGAACCACGCAGACACATGTTGATTCTTTCACAAGCACAAATATAACATTTTATTGTTTCTCACATACGTACCAAAAGAGAATTTATATTTTAATAGCAGCATGGCCTGGCGTTGCCGTGCTTGATTCAAAATTCTTCTGACTCATACAGCAATCATCTATCACTTGACTTAAAATATTTTGCCCCCTTCCTTGTCTTTTAAAGAGTAAACTTGCCGTGTTGATGTTGTTACATGCCTTCTTGCCTATCTCACACTGCGAAATTTTTTCTAAAATCTATACTAAACATTAAATCTAAGGCGAATAAAAACTAAACAAAATGAATGCAAAACGATCAGTTTTAAAAAAAGGACTTTGTAACTGGAAAAACTGAATGAAAAAGAATGTTAACAACAAAACTTTTTCACAACCCAGTTCTGCGGAATCAGAATCAACGTTGAGTTTAAGCAAGTGATTGAGCCAATTGGAGTAAAGAAGTTGCAGATTTCCAATTGTGACGAATGCAGCTATCGATTTTTTTTGCATGCTAGCATGCTAGTTAACTTCGTATCAGTCAACTGTTGGCTCTCACGCTGGCCATAAGTATCTTCCTGCCTATGAATGGCAGCCAGCTATAGGTTCTCACTTTGGCCAGTAGAAAATGGCCGAAAACTACATGAAAACTGCCGTAGAAGGATGAAAAAATCGATTATTTTATTTATCGATGGGAGTTGGGAAATGCAAGGTCGGTCTTGGCTTTCGACATTAAATTTGGGGCGTATTGCATGTAAATTTTGGTGCAAATCCGTCAAAAATTGCGGCCGTGCATTTTTTACACAAAGGGCCTAAACACACACAACACACACACACACACACACACACACACACACATCCTGCCTTTTATAGATAGAGATGAAACAATGGGATTATTCTAAACGTCCGAATTACGAACAACCCCGCAACCATAGGATGTTATTGTATCGAATCCCGACACTCCGAATTTTAACATTCGACGAAAAACCGAGTAGAAGGATTCCTACAAATCCATTTCATATAATATGATTTTTATTGTTTATGTTAGGTTACATTTCAGAGCAGAATTATATATCGGGAAAGATCGTCGAAGATGTGTGTGTGTGTGTGTTTATAATCAGTAATTTGGACTTTGCTAACAGGAAGTTCTTTGTGGCTGAATGGTTAACAGCACGTCAGGTCAAATAACGGTTTTCGTCTGGAATACAGGTTCGATTATTGTCGGGGAACGCATATTTTCTATGAAATTTCTAAAAATATTCAGGTCAGTAAATGTAATTAATACTGTTTAATTAAGAACAGAACATTTACTCAAATAAATTGTATCCATCAAAATAATGTATAAACAGAAAATATATGTCGGATTTAATCCATGACATATTATCTATCTATCTATCATTGTCCTTTTTTCCATATCTATCTATCTATCTATCTATCTATCTATCCCATTCTCTTCATATCTATCTATCCCATCTCTTCATATCTATCTATCCCATTGTTCAGGATCTAAATATCTATCTATCTAGTTTATTCATATCTATCTATCTATCTATGTATCTATCCCATTCTGTTCATATCTATCCCAGTGTGTTCATATTCATCTATCTATCTATCTATTTATCTATCTATCTATCTATCTATCTCATTCTGTTCATATCTATCCCAGTGTGTTCATTATCTATCTATCTATCTATCTATCTATCTATCTATCTATCTATCTATCTATCTATCCGAATCTGTTATGTATGTCTAACCTACTAAATTAAAAGTATTAACATCCAATGATTTTATGACCTTATTGATCTTCTTATCTATCTACTTTATTATCTAAGTCCACAGAAACCTGGCAATTTTCTTTTTTTTTTTTTTTCTCTGCTCGTTTATTTTGTGTGAATTTTATGAATTTTATGTGAATTCCACTAACTCTTATTCATTATCACCCACTCTCTTTAATCAGGCATATACACACCCTCGTTTCAGTTTAAAATTCCATCTTCCCCCTTTCTCCCTTGATTTCTATTTTAATTTTCTCTCTCTCTCTCTCTCTCTCTCTCTTTCTCTCTCTTACTTCCACGCTCTCTTCGTTCTTTCTTTTCTCCTCCTTCCTTGTTCTTACATTTTGATATTTTATAAAGCATCCTGCTGCACCCAATGTGCGTGCCTGCGTGTGCCTGCGTGTCTGTGTGTATCGAATTGAGTTTATTGTCTCTGCATGTGGGAACAATGCAGACGCTGTCGTTTGACACAGAGACAGAAAGGGAAAGAAAAAAAGAGGAGGGGATAAAAAAAAAAAAAAAAGAAAAAAAGAGAGGGGGGTGAATAAGAATCACGTGGCTATCACGTGATAATGTGGTTTATTTTTATTTATATTCAGCTTTCTTTTTAACGCTTGCGACGTTATGTATATTACCATCCCCCTTAAAAGTGACAACATTCGGCCTACAGTCTGACCACCTGACACATGGCGCCGGGTACATGTCCCTCTTTTTTTTTTGCAAGCATTCAATATCCTGTTTATCGATTTGAGTTTCCTAGAAACACACACCCCCTTCTCGCAATATCTATCTATCTATCTATCTATCTATCTATCTATCTATCTATCGACCAGAAAGTTTTCATTATCTGTATATATCATTCCTTTCATTATCTATTTTCATCATTATCTATCTATCTATCTATCTATCTATCTATCTATCTTCTATTATTCTGTTCATATATATCTGTCCCAATGTGTTTTATTATCTATCTATCTATCTTTCTATCTATTATCTATCTATCTATCGACCAGAAAGTTTTCATTATCTCTCTCTGTATATATCATTCCTTTCATTATCTATTTCTTAGACTTCTCATTATCTATCTATCTATCTATCTATCTATCTATCTATCTATCTATCTATCTATCTATCTCATTCTGTTCATATATATCTATCCCAATGTGTTTATTATCTATCTATCTATCTATCTATCTATCTATCTATCTATCTATCTATCTATCGACCAGAAAGTTTTCATTATCTCTCTCTGTATATATCATTCCTTTCATTATCTATTTCTTAGACTTCTCATTATCTATATCTATCTATCTATCTATCTATCTATCTATCTATCTATCTATCTATCTCATTCTGTTCATATATATCTATCCCAATGTGTTTATTATCTCTATCTATCTATCTATCTATCTATCTATCTATCTATCTATCTCATTCTGTTCATATATATCTATCCCAATGTGTTTATTATCTATCTATCTATCTATCTATCTATCTATCTATCTATCTATCTATCTATCTATCTAAGCCGATACATATCTATCTATCTATCTATCTATCTATCTATCTATCTATCTATCTATCTCTTCACATCTGTTCCCAACTATCTGCATGCAAATGCATTTGTGTACACATATATATTCTGAACTCCAATTCTTTATTCTGTTTATATATCAGCAGAACAAAAATAAAATAAATGGATATAACATTGTGCTTGCCTGTGTGGGTATATATGTTTAAACATTTGCAAACGCAGAGCGCGTATCTGTGTGTGTGTATGTTCGCCTGCATGTCTCTGCTTGTGTCGACATCGGCACACACGCACATATATACAGACATATGGTACACGTTGTATACACGCACACATATAAAAGTGTTATTAATCGTTTATTTTTAGTTATATATATATATATATATATATATATATATATATATATATATATATATTCAACATCGTCACTTGATAAGACACCGAGGGGTGTTGAAATAAAATGGCTATTTTGTAGTGATTTTTATAACATATTTATGTTATAATTTTTTTTTTATAAAAAAATAATTATATCTGCTCTACTTTTGTATTGAGCACTCTTTTAAGAATAGTAATTGTTGGCTATTGGAATTCATTCGTATATACCAATTATATACATATATATATATATATATATATATATATATATATATATATATATATATATATATATATAAAGAAAGAACAGTAAGATATATAATCCGGTGTTCTTATTGATATTTTTTATTTTATTTTTTACAAAACAGTGCTCAATGTAAAATTACAGAGCATAAATATTATAAATTAACTGATTTAAAATATGCTTTCTTCGCTACACAGTAATAACCATGTTTCAAAAACTGAAGCTAAAACTTCAAATTTAATTATATAATTAGATTAAAAGCATTAGTTCCGTTTCATCTTCAAGCGAATATTGGAATAAGTTGTTTTTAAATTTACTGAGTTTTTATATATATATATATATATATATATATATATATATATATATATATAACTCACATACATGTGTGTATATTATGAGTTTATTTGTTTAAACGTTAGTTTTAATGGATATTAATATCTGAGTTTTATTTCATTATATATTTTTTATTATCATATTTGTTTCTCTTACTAAACAGTATATTTATTTACATGAACCGGTCTGAATATTCGAGAAATCTTGTTTGAAAAATATTAGCACTGCGGCAAGTTTCGAACCTGCGTCCCATAGGAAAACTGTGTGTGGGCATATATAAATAATTTTCTAGAGATTAACGTATAAAGATATCTATCTATTATACAACGCATACAGATATCTATCTCTCTGCCTTTAACTCAATATAAATATATATATATATATATATATATATATATATAAAGAAAGAAAGAGAGAGTATGAGAGACAGATGAAAGATAGAAAGTGATAGTAAATATACATATAGATAGTAAATATGTACCTTTGATTATATGCAATGTGCTCTCATATGTCAACTAAAAACATAAAAATGCTCAAAATATATCTTGGGCATATATATATATATGTATATATGTGAAAATATATAGAAAATAGGAAAGAACTTGTTAGATAAATAATCCAAAGTTCTTTAGTATTTTTGTTATTATTTTTAAAAAATAGTGCTCGATACAAAAGTAGAGCATAAATATAATTATTTATTTAAAAATATGATTCCAAGACGCTACATAAGAGGTCTCATGTTTCAAAACTAAAAAAAAAAAATCGCTTGAAGATGGAACAGAGTTTACTTTAATTCAATTTAATTCAAATAATTATATTGAAGTTTTAGGCTCTTGTTTTGAAACATGAGACCTGTTATGTATCGTGTTGGAATCATATTTTAAATAAATAATTATATATATATATATATATATATATATATATATATATATATATATATATATATATATATAAAAATCAGGAGATCGGTTGAATCACCTACCTTTTATTTTATTTTATTTTTTTCACGTGTGTATTGAGCACTTTTTAATACTACTGTTTCCTGGTCTGATTCAACTCTGACCATTAACCTTTATGTATTACACACACATATATATATATATATATATATATATATATATATATATATGTGTGTGTGTGTGTGTGTGTGTGTGTGTGTGTGTGTGTGTGTGTGTGTAAAAAATATAGAAAATAGGAAAGAACTCGTTAACATGAGAACTCTTATGTAGTTAGATGGAATCATATTTTTAAATAAATAATTATATATATATATATATATATATATATATATATATATATACACACACACACACACATATATATATATATATATATATATATATATATATATATATGTGTGTGTGTATGCGTATATATATATATATATGTGTGTGTGCGAGAAGGTAAATACAAAACGATAGATTTTATTTTGCAAACGCTTTTCGTTCCTTGAGTAAACGTTGAAAATATTTTGCAAAAATCTATTTATAAATATGGCGAAGGAAAAATATCGTTAAATTTTCAATATAAAAAGCTCTAAAATATAAATCTTTTTAAATATTATATATATATATATATATATATATATATATATATATATATATATATATATATATATATATATATATATATATATATATATATATATATTTTTGAGCAGAGCGTTTGTCATTAAGGTCCGAATTATGAAGGCGTTTTCTAACACACATACACGCTCACACACACACACCCATATATATAAATTACCCTATATATTTTTATGTATATGCTTACTTTGTGTATGAATTTGAGTGTGTGAATATTAAAATTTATTCAGACAATTTTTCCTAAAAAACAAAATATATATATATATATATATATATATATATATATATATATATATATATATATATATATGTATATGTTTGTGTGTGTGTATGTCTGTGTGTGTGTGTAGGTGGTCGCATGTGCGTTTGCGTGAAAAACATTTATCATGAATGTCAATTAAAATTTAAAAAAAAAATAACACCGCTGAAAGTCATTTTTATTGATCCTTTCTTCCAATAAATGTTTAAACTCTCCAACAAATATTATTGAACGCCATCTTCGGCTAACGTTCAGCTACTTACTCTTCAAAGGTCACTATCCTCATTGGGCGCAATGTCCCTGATTATGAAGACGTTTCCATCGATTCATCACATTATATACAAAGACAGAGAGAGACAGAGAGAGAGAGAAAGAATGAGAGAGAGAAAGAGAGAGAGACAGAGAGACAGAGAGAGATGGATTGGTTGTAAATATCGTCTATAGCGTTAACGTTTTAGTTGCTATTTTACAACGCGTTTTATTGATTGCGTCTTCATAAAATTCTAATATTTAATGTAGCGCAATTATTTTCCACACACTCACACACACACACACACACACACACACATATATATATATATATATATATATATATATACAAGTATAGGATTAGTGTGGACGGAATAAAATTCCAATAACTAAAAACACTATTCTTAAAAGAGTGCTCAATAAAGGGTAAAGCAAATATAATTTATTCGAAAATCATAACATAAACATCTTATAAAATCACTACCAAAATAGCCATTTTGTTTCAATACTTCTGATGTCTCATCAAGTGATGGTGTTGAATGTAGAATAAAGAGTTTTAAAAATATTCAAACCAACCATCGATCGTGGGAAATGCTGTTACATAAGCTACAATGACCAATCAAGATACAAGTATATAAGAATTCAAAAAAATTGACAACGAACCTTGGTTCATGCCTTAATGTTAATGTTAGACTAAACTAAATCATTCTGATGAATTTTAAATTTTACTATAAAATTGAAAATAAAAATTACCAATTTAAAATTTTAAATACTCTACATTCAACACCATCACTTGAGAAGACACCAGAAGTGTTGAAACAAAATGGCTATTTTGGTAATGATTTTATAACATGTTTATGTTATTATTTTTTAATATATATATATATATATATATATATATATATATATATATATATATATATATATATATATACAATGGTAAAATCCGTGGTAATCGAAGTGAATTCTAGTAATATAAAATATTAAAACTGATTCATAGAAGAGCTCAATGTATTTATTACAGAGCATATAAGAAGAAAGATATATAAAAAAAACCTTAAAAGTTTAAAAACTTTATTCAATTTTAGTTTTTGATTCCTTCTTAATTGGATTTTAATATTTTTATTATTATTTTTATTGTTTTTCTTCTTTTTATATTTTTTTCTTTAATATTTCTATTTAAAAAAAAACAAAACAAAAAAACTTTTATTTTAAAATTCCCTCTGTATTAATTTTTCTTTCCAGCTCGTAAGTCATGTTATTTCTTACTTTGATGAAGATTTCCATTTTAGGTCAATGTCTAGAAGAATTTGATGATTTTCTCATCTTGATTTGCATTTTAAGATCTTTACACTCTCTCCTTCTTACTTGATTCTCTCTTTTTTCTTTTCCTTTTTTTCACTTTTTCTTTCCTTATTTTATACACCCCCTCTAATTTTAAATGTTGTTTTAAATGTTTTATTTTTTTAAATTATTTTTTATTTTTTTAATTGTTAATTTCCATTTTTTTTTTCTATTTTTCACACAAGCATTTTGATTCTGTTTTTAATTTTAATTTTTCATAAAACTCCTTGAGTTGATAAGCATGTTGAAAAGGCGAAATGGCCATTCTTGTGGGGGAGTGATTATAATGGCCATTCTTGTGGGGAGTGATTATACATACATATATATATATATATATATATATATATATATATATATATATATATATATATATATATAAATTGCATAATATATATAAATGACCATTCTTGTGGGGAGTGATTATCATGTAACTGTAATTTATATATATATATATATATATATATATATATATATATATATATATATAAGAAGTAACTACCTATTTTATATAGGAGTGGCCAGCCAGGAGTCCAGAGTTTCTGGTGAAATCAGTTGACACGATTTCTGGGAGGTCCGAGAAGCTGGTAGCGAAATTTGATGCTCATATCGAATTTTAAATAAAACCTCATGTTAAATTGCTTTCCACTCATATCCATTTCTTGTAAAATTATTATTAATAAATAAATTACAAATATTTAAAATGGGAGTTTTCATACATCTATATATATATATATATATATATATATATATATATATATATATATATATATATATATATATTAATTCATCGAGTCTAGAAGAAACCTCAACAGAATGCAGAAAGCACTGGACAGCCGTTTCGTCCTATATTTGGGACTCATCAGCAGTGCGCATCCACTACCGAGAATTGAAACCCGGACATATCAACTGTACTAACGGGCCCCAGGTTTCAATTCTGCATCCTGTTGAGATATCTTCTAGACTCAATTCCTCCTTAATTTCTATCATTTGTATATCCTTGCTTGAACCGGCTTCTAATGCTTTGGATGGAGCGGCTTGGTGATGGTAGTCGTGGCTCTCAGGCACAGTCCTATGGGTAAAGGAACTTGAATGAGTTCCACCACGAGCGGCGCAATATCGAGTCTAGTTCGCTACCTCTTCGTCACCGACGCACGTTAGTACAGTTGATATGACGTCGTTTGCCTGTCAACGTAACTGTCCTGGTTTCAATTCTCGGTTGATGTGCACTGCTGATATATATATATATATATATATATATATATATATATATATATATATATATATATATATATATATATATTATCTGGCCACTCGTATTCGCTACTAGGGTGGCTAGTCAATCCCTATTGCAGACGCCTGCTCTGTAGTTTATACTGCAACAGTTTCTGGGAAAGAGCGTGTTATCTAGCGTGATAATCTGAACAAGGCCAGCACGCTCAAGCCCTCGGCCACGATGCCTTGTGACTTCGTGCACATCTATCGACGCCCCCAAGGGTTCCGTATACTCAATTTCACTCACAACGCTTGGGTCGACACGTGGTATGGTTTTCAGACACTTTCCAAAGGTGCCTCACACTGGGATTGACGCCTCTTTCCTGACAACTCGACTATGGTTAGATTCGAAGACGAGTTTCATGTTCAGAATGCGAATGTTCTAACCACTCGGACCCGAGTTCGAATCGGACTGGAGAGGTCGATCCCGTCGTGCGGCAACTTTGGAAACCATACCACGGGTTGACCCAAGACTTATGGGTAAAATTGGATAAGCGAAATATGAGTTGCCAGTTATTATTATTATTATCTTACATATATATATATATATATATATATATATATATATATATATATATATATAAATATATATATATAAAAGAAATTAAAACCTTTTCTAATTAAATAATGTCTTAGTTTTATTGCATTTTTTAAATTT